ATTTAATATTTTGTTGATTCACCTTTGGCTTTATAAAGAGCAATAGCTCGTTTTTGAAAACTTTTAGCCAATCTCATTGTCATATCCGTAGTTATTTCTGCCCAAGACGTCTTAATTGCATCTTTAAGTTCATTGATATTTTAGGCTTTAATATGCCTATTTTATACTTTATAATCCCCCATTAGTTCTCAATTGGGTTCATGTCTGGTGATTGAGCAGGTTAAGGCAATAATTCTACATTTCTTTCTCTCAAAAGCTCTGATGCCAGCTTTGATGTGTGCTTTGGGTTGTTGTCTTGCTAGAAAATGAACTAATTCAAACTCATTGATGCAGCAGATTCAAAAAGGTTATTGGAAAGGAAGACAAGTAATTGAAGTTTTCATAGTGATTTTTTAGGATTTTCTTTAGTTTCCTTTTTTATCACGTTTAAAACCTCTTGAGAAAAAACTTTTGGTCCTCCATTTATACCGATATGATTAAAACTATGGTATTTATCATACTTTTGCTTGGTACGAACTACTGTAGAGTGGCAAATGCCAAAAATTTTGGCCACCTCCTTCGTCGAATGACTAAGCACGAGAGTTTGAATTACTTGAGCTACAGTCACATTATCAAGTTGCTTAACCATTCTTGTCTTGATAAGCTCTAATTTATATTTAAAAAAAGCAGGAAACCCATTTTAGTCAGGTTGTGCGTTTTTTTTAATGTTTGAAAAATCACTATTTTCAAAATGTTAAATGGTAAGTAAGTAGTAGCTTAAGTAATTCAAACTCTCAAACTTGGTCATTCGACAAGGGAGGTGGCCAAAATGTTTGGCATTTGCCACTTTACAGTAGTTCGTACCAAGCTAAAGTATGATAAATACCATAGTTTTAATCATATCGGTATAAATGGCAAACCTAAAGTTACTTCTCAACAGGTTTTAAAGGGGATAAAACAGGAAACTAAAGAAAATCCTAAAATATCACTAAGAAAACTTCAATCAGTTGTCTTCCTTTCTAATAACATTTTTGAATTTGCTGCATCAATGAGTTTGAATCAGTTCATTTTCTAGCAAGACAACAACCCAAAGCACATATCAAAGCTGAAATCAGACTTTTTGAGAGAAAGAAATGTAGAATTATTGCCTTGGCCTGCTCAATCACCAGACATGAACCCAATTGAGAACTTATGTGGGATTAGAAAGTATAAACTAGGCATATTAAAGCCAAAAAATAGCAATGAACTTAAAGATGCAATTAAGACGTCTTGGGCAGAAATAACCACGGATATGACAATTAGATTAGCTAAAACATTTAGAAAACGAGCTATTGCTCTTTATAATGCCAAAGGTCAATCAACAAAATATTAATTGACTAGTGGTGCGTTGTATTTAACAAAAAGTTTAAAAAATGATAAAATAGTCCAACTTGACCCTATTTAAAAAAACAGAAATGTAAAATAATTTTAAAGAATACAGCTATCTTATATATAATATCGACTTGTTCAAATTTTTGTCATATTGACCAAAAAAAGGGTGGTACGTTTTTTTGATAAACTTTATATATATATATTTATTTATATATTTATAGTTAATAGGCTTTCTAAAGGGGAAACTATGTTTCGTCTTTTTTCAGGTATTGTTTACTGACATCTAATAAATTTCCCTAAAGTTGTGGTGTTTAACAGACCCTTTCGATTCTTCAATTGCTTAAAGTTCATGTCTGACTAAAATAAATCACGTCGGTATAAAAGTGGTTGATAAAAGTGACTTTATCATTCCTGATGGAGCTGAAACTTACAATCGACTCTTTGTTAGGCTCGATTCCTCTGTAATACTGCTGGGAATCCAGTATCTTTTGCATCTTATAAGCTACACTTATGAGTTTATGATATTGCGCCATTTCTCATGGCTCCAATAAAAGCGCAACTGCATTGCTATTAGTTAAAACATTAAATAAGTGAGCTGTTGGATGACCTTAGTAAATAAATTTTTGGCTTTTATCTCCACAAGTCTTTCTATTAGATGTGGTGGACACGATTAAAACCACTGTTTCTAAAAGAGTTCGTGATCAGATCGGCGGAAACTTCACCTGACGCAGCATCGAATTATCCTGCTTCGCTTTCTCCAGAGCCTTTCTCGCCCTTTTCGCCTCATCTTCGAACGCCTCTAACCGGCGCTGCAATAAAGCGATATCCCCGTCACGCTGATTTACTTCCTTCATCGCCATCTCCAGCTGACGAAGAAGTTTCTCGCGCTCCTGCCCCAGCTCGCCGAGTCTATAATAAGTTAAAGAAAATATAATTTTTAAATATGGGTCAGAAATAAGTCTGAAAATGGACTCAACAGCGAAATAAGGAACTTGTGCTAAATTATTTCGGATAAGAACTGGATTGCTACGCAATTAACCTAAAGTGCTACTCGTGCATAAAGCATTGCTCATACTCAAAATGTCAAAAATGGGACTATTTCCGTATTTACGTTTATAGGGAAATGCTGTGACACGATATTGTGGGAAATTTACAAGCTTATTCTGAATTTAAATATTTCTCTGCCTTTATCCCTTTGGCTTTCTGCCTGAGTCCTGTATAAGAAGCTTACAGAGTTGAAAATAAATTTTAATTCTAGCTTATTTATTACGAGCCTTTATTTCCCTATTTAACTTCAGCTCTTATTGAAAAATGTGTCCCAAAGATATTCTACGAACTCCTTAAATAGATGCAAAAGTTCTTCCTCTTTCAGATTTTTATATCTGCAATTCCAACATGATAACATATGGTCACTAGACTTATTTACTCATGTAGCTCAAATTACTTTATTACGGTTCAGAGAAATTATGATTTACCAAGTCGTGATATCCTCAATATAAAAGTCACCAAGACCATCTGTTCTCCTAAAATATCAGCAGCTTTTCGCACCGCTTAAACTTGGCCCACAAGACTGCCTATATTTGATTGAACCAGAAGCTTTGGATGTCAGTCTTTCTCGATCGGTGCTTTACGCGGGGTACATTTTATGCTAGTAGCGGAATTTCAGTTTTAGTGGAACTTCATAAAGAGTGAAACTAAATTGCTGACGCATAGTTTTTAGTTTGTGTAGTTTTCTGGCACAAATTTGCCAAAATCATTTCAAGACTACCATTCTCTTGTGAGCATAAAAATGATGCATATGTGAGCAAGGGTCTCCATTCATCATTAAAAGTAAGTCCAACCATTTCCTT